GGTTAGGGTTAACAGCATACGTAGTAGAACTAGTAGGAGTCCTACAGCGACCCCACGTGAGTGTCGAAATTATTGACCTTTGATGACTACTTCTGTCACACTTTGCTGTCCAAATCAATCTGTGCCACTCTGTGATGCTTTTTTGGGAGGGTACGAATACTACAGCATCCCCTCAGGAGTCATGGCTTTCTCTGCCAACCCAATTTTATCTAACCCGTAAAAAAGGTGCAAAAGTAATTCAATTATTACAGTTTAGTCGTAGAGCTTGGGTTTTTGGGAGTAGGCTCGTCAATTCGAAAGAAATGATACAAAAATAAGAAGTTTTGAGTTAAAATGTTAACAAATCTGGTTGTTGCGGAGTTAGTCATTAAGAACCTATTAATAAGTTAGTTCGTTGTTAAGTTACTGATTAAGAATTCAATAAGACATAATTTGTCAAATCTAGACATTTAGTGTGACAGTTTTTTCATGACTTCCTAACTCGACATGACTTGTTAATGATTCAAGACGTTATTTAGTTACTTTTTAAGAATCTATTAAGATGATAAGTTTGACATAACACAACTCGTTAAAATAATAAATATGACACGATAACAACAAAACATGAAAAAGAATATCCGTTCGCCGTGCTTAAATTGGGAGTACACTAGATGATGGTAACTTCAAAAAAGTAGGATATGAAGGTAAAGTTTATGTGAAAGTAACTCGACTCTTTATAAGTATTTGTTAAGCACCTCGTGTGGGACTCTCATGCCTTCTTACATGCAAAAGTTTTCAAATTTAATAGGTAAACAAAATTAAGAATTCAAAACATAGTTTGTCAAATCTAGACATTTAGCGTGATAGTTTTTTCATGACTCGCTAACTCGACATGACTCGTTAATGAATTTGACCGTTATTTAGTTACTTTTTAAGAATCCATCAAAATGACGAGTTTGACACAACACAACTCGTTAATATAATAAATATGACACGATAACAACAAAAACATGACAAACAAAATCTGTTCGCCGTGCCTAAATTGGGAGTACATTAGACGATGGTAACTTCAAAAAAGTAGGATATGAAGGCAAAGTTTATGTAGAAGTAACTCAAAGGTGACAATATTTACTTTTAACTCTTATACGATAAGTTATTCAGTACTATAGTTTGGTGATATTTTTTTTTACTGGCAAGTGAGATGTCTTAAGATCAAATTTTATAGGTGGCGAATTCTATATCAAATTATATTACTTATTGTGTGGTTTAACTGAACTCATTGTTATGCTTAAAAAAAAATAAGATGAAGTTTTGTTGTTGCTTTCTCCTTAAATGAGAAACAAAAATATACAAGCATTCCCTTCGATTCACTTCTACAGTGACAGATATTAAAAAAAAAACGAAAAAAAGGGGAAAAGGAGAACAAGAATCATTCGACGACTGCAAAACAACTTTGGAACCCACGAGAAAGAATGATAGAGATGAGATGATGATACAAACCAAAGGTAAAAAGGTTGAAAACTTAACCTTATCGAGGTAAAGAATAAAGAGAGAAAGACATACAAGCATGCGTATTTGACTAGTCGGTATTCTTTTGGATAACGTTGTTTTTTCATTAGAGTCAAATGTTGGATTGAATTTTAATGCTAACCGTATGATTACTTTCATGTGTACAAAGTTAAAAGTGGAGATTATGTACCAATTTGTCCACGATTTTCTACCCATGTACACATTCACAATAATGCGAATTGATTTACTTTCTATGCAATAAAAAATGAATGTACGGACTTCACCATCATTAGTTGAATTAAGGGCTATCGAATGTCTAAGTTAGAATTAAAAATAAATGATAATTTAAGAGCTTTAGATTTCTCGGCAGAAGAACTACCTCTATCTCATGATTGAAGGCTGTCTTTCTATACCAGTAGGGTTGAGCATGACGGTCGATTCGAGTGGTGCAAGTGGTGCTACGAATGGTGTTTCGAGATAATAGGAGAGTTGCCGGTTTGAGATTTGTTATTTATTTTTTAATAAACGATATTATTTACGTTAAGGATAGAGAGTGAATTAGTCTCACAATGAGCTAACAATAATGTAGTTTAAATTTATTTTTGACAAGAATCAAATCAAAAGAATATTATTAAAATGTAGAGTAAACTGTCGGTTTACCCCTGAACTTTCACCTCACTTTCGATTTCCCCCCTGAACTTTTCCATTGGAAAATTAAGGACTCAAACTAATTTTTTTAGCCAATTTGCCCCCTACCGTTAGTTTTTCATATATTCCATCCATATTTCCGTTAAGTGAGACAATGTGCACAACATGTGAGGGTAGTTAAGTTATTTCACTCTTAAAAATGATTAAAAAACTGAAAATAATAAAAAAAGCAAAACTTTCCCTCTATTTTTTCCCGCTAATTCCTATCCTCGATTTTATTTTTCCCTCTCATTCCTATGCATGAGAAATGACATATGGTGTTATTGTCTACCATTTTTTATTTTCTCTAAACAAATTAATAATTTGACAAATGCTAATGGTGCTATTGTCTCCAAAGCAGTGCATTAATATAAGAAACCCTAGTCTTTTTTATGAACATGTTTCTTATATTAATGCACTGCTTTGGAGACAATAACACCATGAGCATTTGTCAAATTATTAATTTGTTAGAGAAAATATAAATGGTAGTACATGCTTCAAAAAAAAGATTAACTTAGCTACTTATGAAGACAATAACACCATATGTTATTTCTCATGCATAGGAATGAGAGGGAAAATTAAAATTGAGGATAGGAATTAGCAGGAAAAAATAGAGGGAAAATTATTATTATTATTTATTTTCAGTTTTTAATCATTTTTAAATTGAAATGACTTAACTATCCTCACATGTTATGCACATGGTCTCACTTAACGGAAATATCGATGGAATATATGAAAAAATAACGGTAGGGGGCAAATTGGCTAAAAAAATTAGTTTGAGTCCTTAATTTTCCAATAGAAAAGTTCAGGGAGGAAATCGAAAGTGAGGTGAAAGTTCAAGGGGTAAACCGACAGTTTACCCTAAAATGTAGTACTAAGTAGCTTAAGATTAGTTGTTTCACCATTCAAACCTATTAGCCATTTGACTAGAGGAGCCATCACGAGGGACGTCATACTAGATATGCTTGGTAACATTGATGATTGTGCCACAATTATTCGGTTCGTTGCCCCATTCTATTGATCATGCGGAATTTGATTACAATTAACCAACCATGTAATTTCCTTATTAGACATTGTTGTGCTTAAGAGTTGTTTGGGCATGATTCTTTCCTCTCTTAATTTATTTTTTCTTCTCTCTCTTTCTATTTAAACAATTAGCATTAAACCACATTAATATCTTATTTTAAATTGTTTTATAGAGAAAAAAAAAAAGACAAAAACAAAAGGGTAAGAGGGGGAGAGGGAAGGAGAGAGAATTAGGAAGGGGAAAATCCTACTCCTTTAGGCTTTACTAGGCCTTTTGGGTGCAATAGCCCTAGGTCATAACACGTGAGCTAAGCATTGGTAGCCACGCTTTGCAGCTTGTATATCGAAGCACTAAATACTGGATGGATCATACTTGTTGGAACTAAATTCGCGCACCATTGCATAGGGACGTGATGTATAAACTCAACTACCTGTAAAATAACCTTGGCACCGGTGTGGTGCTAGCAGTTTATGAGACTTAAGCAATAGGCAAGAAAATAGAGTTTGCGATAATTGCGTTACTAGAGACAAACCCTATAATGGTGTATGCATACCAGTCAAGAAAGATCTTTTAGGATATATAATCTGGATTAGACCAGGAGAATCTCAGAGAATATCTACAAGTAGATATTGCATCATCTTAGGAGTTTGATTACTTATAGCCCCAGATCCCTAAATTGTAGGAATCTCCAAGGATATAGAAAACATGGTTGATTCTATACTAGGTCAGGTTTCCATACCTTGCGGAAAAAGAATGGTCAATCTCAACGAAGTTGACGGACTTCGCCCCCACTTATCTGGAGCAGGGTGATGGTGGCATCGCTCATCCGTCTGTGCAACTCGAAAGCACTTAAAGTGCACTTGGGAAAAATAACTGAAAGTGTTTTTGGTAAAATTGATATTGAGTTTTAAAAGCACTTAAAGTGTTTTTGGAAGAAGCATCAAATATGCGCTTCTTACAGGAAACACTTATAGTTTTTCTTCAAAATCAACTTAGATTTTACTAAGAATTTGTTTAAAAAATATTTTCACCAAAATCTATTTCAGTCATTTTATAAGCACTTAAAATCAATTAAAATATTAATAAAATAGATGAAAAAAAGACATAAGGGTATAGGACTTGTTTCTTGAAGTATCACATGTTTATTTTTTGTTACTCTAAATATAACGTGATATTGTAGATATCTTTTCAATAATCCGGATTATTAATTCCAGAAAAGTGAAAACTAACTGGATGGGTATTTTTGTTTGGATACATAATCCAAATTTGCAATATTTATCCATACCAGATTTCTTACTATATATTATCGGATTCCACAGCCCTACCCAATATCATTCCATCTACCACGAACTCTCATTCCATGTACTCCATTTTTCCCATTTGCCACCGTCACATTTCTACTTATCCGACCAAGGGTCAAATTTGAAATGACATGTCATCTCCATAAGGATCACGTTACCCAAAATTTACCATTATCTCTTCTCTTACAAAGAGGATAAAGAGGAAAAGTTTTTCAGTGCGTTCGAATGAAGAAATTTTTTTTTATTAATGTGCCAAAAATGCAAAAAAATACAAATAGATGAAAAGAAATGGCCTAATTTCTCAAATTCCTAAATTACCTTTTTCAACGAATACAAATAAATAATTAAATAAATATTGGATTTCAGAAAATCTCTGAATCTGATCACGTAAAGGAGAATTAGGAGAGAGAGACTGAGAGGGAGGAGAGAGAAGCAGTAGATCTCTAGTCTTTTGGTTGCAGTGATCTTTTTGGTGCTCTCAATACAAGAAAAATAAAACAAATAAAAAGGCAAAACAGTAGGGAAGAGAGAGAGAAAAAAAGAAGTCTACAGATCAGACCCAGAGCAGAGAGAACCTCTCTCTCTATCTCTATCTCTATCTCTCTCCTCTCTCTCTCACTCTACCTTGTTATTAATCCCAGTAGTAGTTTGTCTCATTGCTTTTTATTTCATTTGATCCCATGCTCTCTCTTCTCTTCTTCCTAAATCCCATCTTCCCCTTTTGTCTTCTGCCCTCCTCTCCGTATCTTCTTCTTCCTCCTCCTCTTCTGTTCTACAAAAGTTAAACAAAAGCTAGATTCATATTATATTTATATATCTTATATAATATTGTTTTGCTTCTTTTTATGATCTTTTATTTTCTCTGGGTTTGAATTGAAAAATGGCAACTGGTTGGAGGCGAGCTTTTTGCACTACAATCCCTCGAGATCCAGCCGATGAATCCATACTCTCTGAAAAGATAAGCCCCAGCCCAAGTCCCACTCCCAGGAGCTGCACCAGGCTCGGCTTCTTCTCCGGCGGCAGCAACCCTTCTACCCCAAGATTGCAAACTCAGCAGCCCCAGCAGCAAACCCAGGTTGGCGACCATGAAAATCCCAGAAAACTTGAGTGCAAAACCACTACTCCAAAGAGTAGTAGAACGTCGTTTCTCTCGAGCTCCAACCCGACTTCTCCTCGATCCCCTCTCAAGCTCTCCCTCTTCCGTAACAGCTTCAAGTTTCGAGTAATTAACTCTCTTATTAATCATTAATCCACCCATTAATTTGTTATCATTTTGTTGCCCAGTTGATTAAAATTTGTCTCATTTCGATGTGTTTTTGAACTGCTGCAGAGTAGCTGCGGGATATGCCTGAACAGCGTCAAGACCGGCCAAGGCACCGCCATTTACACAGCGGAGTGCAGCCACGCCTTTCACTTCCCTTGCATAGCTGCCCATGTCCGCAGCCATGGCATCCTTGTCTGCCCCGTCTGCAACTCCACCTGGAAAGACGTCCCTCTCCTCGCCATCCACCAGAACCTCAACAACAACAACAACGCCCAGAACGACGTTGTCCGAAGTCAAACCATCCCAAAGCAGAAACCCAAATCCAAGACAGCCGAAGTCGAGAAGAAGATAATAATGGAGTCCACGCCACCACCCAGAGCCTCGTCTAAGCCATTGTACGACGATGACGAGTCTCTTCTCTCTCCAACGTCTCGGTTCATCCCCATCCCGGAAGCCGACGACGAGGAGGACGAAGATGACGCCGTCGCATACCCCGAGACCGACGACGTCCAAGAGTTCCAGGGCTTTTTCGTCAATCCAAACTCTTCATCTTCCGATGCTCAGATCAACGGCAGAGATTTTAGAACCAATAATAACGTTCAGGTGCGGATTTTGCCCGAATCCGCTTTGCTCTCTTCGGGTCGGGGCTCCGACACTTTTGCCGTGGCGTTGCGGGTGAAGGCTCCGCCTCCGTCGATTTTAAACCCGTCGCACCGTGCACCGATCGATTTGGTGACAGTGCTCGACGTCAGCGGAAGCATGACCGGCGCCAAACTCCAGATGCTGAAACGCGCCATGCGTTTGGTGATTTCGTCGCTCTGCTCCCACGACAGACTTTCGATTGTCGCTTTCTCGGCCACGACGAAACGGTTGTTGCCGTTGAGGAGAATGACGGCTTTCGGTCAACGTTTGGCTAGAAGAGTCGTTGACCGGCTTGCGTGCGGTCAGGGTTCGAGTGTGGGTGATGCCTTGAGGAAGGCGACAAAAGTGCTTGAAGATCGAAGGGAGAAGAATCCGGTTGCCAGTATCATGCTCTTATCGGACGGTCAGGATAGGCTGAAAAATTCGGCCAATCACCGTCAAGGTTCAGGCCACGTGTCGTCCACCCGTTTTGCTCACATTGAGATCCCGGTTCATGCTTTCGGGTTCGGCGAAACCGGCGGCTTTAACCAGGAGCCGGCTGAGGACGCGTTTGCCAAATGCGTTGGGGGATTGCTGAGTGTGGTCGTCCAGGACTTGAGAATTCAGCTGGGCTTCGATTCTGGCTCGGCTCCCGCAGAGATATCCGCCATCTATTCGTGCAATGGTGGGCCAGTAGTGCACGGCTCAGCTTCTGTTCGGCTCGGCGACTTGTACGCCGAGGAAGAGCGGGAGCTGCTGGTAGAGTTGCGGGTTCCACGCTCTCTAGGAGTTGCGGGATCCCGACACGTAATGTCTGTCCGGTGTCTCTACAAGGATCCTGCAACTCAAGAGATTGTGTATGGTAAAGAACAGGCACTTTTCGTGCCTCTCACGGATACCGTGAGATCGTCTTCGGGCCCGAAGATCGAACGGCTGAGAGGGCTGTTCATTACAACTCGCGCGGTAGCCGAGTCGCGGAGATTGGTTGAGCACAATGACTACTCTAGTGCGCATCATTTGCTTTCATCGGCTCGGGCTCTGCTCATGAAATCCGGCTCAGTATCGGCCGACGAGTACGTGCGTGGCCTGGAAGCCGAGCTCTCGGAGCTGCATTGGAGAAGGCAGCACAAGATCATGGAGGAGCAGCAGCAGATGATGATGATGATCCAACGGCGGAGAGGGGGCGTGGAAAGGGACGTGGCAGGGACCGCTGTAGTGGATGAAAACGGGGAGCCGCTTACACCGAGTTCGGCTTGGAGAGCGGCTGAGAAGCTGGCTAAGGTGGCGATCATGAAGAAGTCGCTGAATCGAGTGAGCGACTTGCACGGCTTTGAAAATGCTAGGTTTTAGTTCGCGGTTTTAGAGGGAAAATAAAAGCACTTTTTCTTTTCCTTTTTCGAACTTTTAGTTGATAGGGACAAGGCCACATGCACATTCATTTGGGTGGATTTAGTTTGTTGCTTTTTTCAGTTATTTCGGTTGGACGGGTGATTTTCGCACTTTGTTTGCTTATTTTGCAGTCTTCTCGTTATTCCTATACATTAAAGGTAATGAACAAATGAGTAGCTTTTGATGTTTGAATGACAAAATAGATCCTTCTAGGAGATAATATGGTTGTTGAAGTCGGCAATTCCTTCTTTTTTGGCAAAATGAATGGTTATTTGTAGTATTTCTTTCGTCGGTTATAGAGGAGAAGGATTCAAATTCAAGATATCGTTCAATATTATAAGAGGAAAATACCATTGGATTAAAAATTACACCACAACACAATTCTTCAGTCATAGCTTTACATTATAGCACTTTATACAAGTTCTACAAGTACATAATGGGCTTTAGTAACTCTTAAAACCATATGAACAAAATGAAGAGCTCGGCTTAAACTAATTAACTGACTATGAATAGGATAAAAAAACAAGGTAAATTAGGATTAAATACCGAGTGGGATATAAGTTTTAAGAAAGAAAATTACAAGAATAGTACATTTTACATGTTTGCCTCCATTGCACAGTACACAAGCCCACCTAGCTTATCCTTCAGAGATCACTGAACCGTCGGATAATGTTCTTGCTAGTGGCTCCTTTGCTACGTCTTATGTGGTTTTTCCACCTTCTCATGAAATTAACAAATCCATTTGTGAAATTAATTCAAATTTCTCTAATTAATCATATTTCTCTAATCAATTTATGAAATTAACAAATTCATTTAGCTACCAAATAATATAGGACCCTTCACAAAAAATATACCAATGCAATTCATCTGAATTAATGCAAAATACCAATGCAATTCATCTGAATTATTGCAAATTTACTGAGAATATTTGATTAATTAGCGTACCATTTTTGTGCATACATATACATATATATACACACACACAATGGAAGAAGGTCATATGCATCAAACTACAACAAATCAAAGAAAATGGTAGGAGCTTCTTGGCCTCATTACCCTCCTTGTGTCAGCGAAGGTTGTACAAATGCTGCATGTTGTGGTCAAGGTTTGTTCTTTCTCTTTCTCCAACACTTTACGGTTCTAACATATATATCAAATACAAACTTACAAATTTGAACGTCGTTTTTACTGTTTCCAGAATTCAAATATGTTTGGCCTGAGCTAGTTGGAAAGCCTGCGTCCGACGCGGTAGCGACAATCAACAAGAACAACCCAGCTGTTACAGTTCTCATCTTAAAACCTGGATTCATTAGATTGGGCAACTTTTGTTGCAACCGTGTTTATGTTTTCACTGATGAAAAAGGCATTGTCTCAGGAGTACCTACAGTCGGATAGAGACTCAAGAATTATCCCGTCATCTAGTCCTTCAAAATTATATGTCTATCATCTTATCGCATTTATAATAATTGTGGAAAATTCTACTATGTCTACTTACGTTTACTCAATTCATTTTAATTCAAGATGAGACTTTTTTTTTATAATTTATTTATTTTTTAACAAACGATATTATCTACATTAAGGAGGATGGGTGAGCTTAGTCTCACAATGGACTAGCAATAATGTGGTTCACATATGCTTTTGGCGAGAATTGAACCTAAATCTCCTTTTTATCAGCGTAGAGGAATACCGCTAAATCATAGTATTAAGTGACAAATCAAGATGAGACTTATGGTGTACTTTTTTCTGATTTTTTTTTTTTTGTTGAATAAATCCCAAAACATGTAAAATATTAACGGTGTGATATACCATATGTTTAAAAGAAGATATGTTCATTCATTTAGGTACCAAATAATAATGTAGTGACACACCCGACCGAGATCAAGACATGCTGGTCGTCACGTGAGGGTGACGTAGTCATATGAATAAATAAAACCAAAAATTAATAAAGTGCACTAATAACGTGAAGTGTAGGAGTAAGATACAAAAGTAAATACTCCTAATCAGATCATAGAAAGTCTAGGTGCAGTCCAATAGGACAAGTACTACTTATACAGTACCATAAGATGTCCTACAATTATTTTAATATATCAGAACCGCCGAAGTCCTCAAGGCCACCAACAGCAAGCTTACCTAAAACCTGGTGGGGCGCAAAACAGAAAACGTGAGTGGGCAAAAACAAATGTTTTACAAAACCATTTCATTTCTCAACATTTCTAACCCCTCGCCGTAAAACATGTATAATTTTTCCCAGAAATAGAATATAAGCATATGCATAAATATATATATATGTAAATATATCAACTCAAATCATGCTTCACATATTCATAAGCATATGTATATCATGCCAAGATATAACAGAGTAAGTAATTCAGGTGAGAATAAATTCATGAAAGATAACATATTAGCCGGAACTCCTGCATAAGTCTGTTCGGCTGAATTCATAGCTCAATAGTCAAATCTAGCCGGAGTCACTACAATGACCTATATGACACTATGCTGCACTCGAATCGGAACCAATGAGAAGGTCTGTACAACAATACTGGGTGTAATATAATTATGCTCAATACTACTCTCTCATAATAGCTGAGCGACGGATCGCTAGTCACCTATAAGTCGAAACCACCTATGATGGTCTGTACGACAAGAATGTGCACCTAAATTGGATCCAATGTGAGCATATGGTGTGGGATGTGACATTATAAACAGGTTTGTGCCATATCTCTGGCTAAATCACAATCACCCTAGGTGCAGGTTTATAAGCGCTATGTTTCTCAATTAATCACAACTTTAAATCACATCACAATGCACAACTCACCTGGGCTTACCTGAGCGTTCACAGCACCACAATTATATATATCATGCATCATACACCAATTCATATACGAATTATAAATTTATATGCATGGCATTCAAGGCATACTCTCATTTAAACATATTTTCTGGGAAAATATCAAGTATATAAATATATACTGAAAACCAAAAACCCACTCACTGGTATGTCGAAAGCTCATAGCCCCCAAGTCGCCCTTGACTTCGCTCGTCCTCGAGATAAGTCCCACCTATATGCGAATTAACTATAAAAATGTTATTTAAAGCACATAGATAAAACTAGCTAATAACTTCTCATACAATGCTCAAATAAGGTGTTTGAATATACCAACGTGATCTACACAACCTCATGAACATCCCCATATTTTTAGAAAAATTTTCCGACCACCCACGTGTCGCCACGAGCCGGCCAAGGCACTGCAACACGCGCGGCCACACGCAGGGAACCCTAACGGAAACCCTAACTGTCGTTAGGAATATTCCGTTATATAGTAACTGAATCCGTTAAAGTTAACTAACGCCGTTGGAATATTCCGTCATCCCTAACCTCAAACCTCCGGGACCGTCGTCGACGTTGGAAACTGGGAAATTTTCTAAACCTTATATCTGTGTTGTTTTTTATCCAAATTCCATGAAACTTGAACCAAAATGAAGCTTAGGACGGATAGAACACAACCATACCTTTTAAAAGCTCTAAAACCCACGGGATTCACCGGAAAACTCCTCGATACGCCGACCAAACCTGCAACTCGTCGAATCTCAACTTTCCGACGTCCAAATCACTTCATTTTTCTTCTCCGAGCTTCGTGAAGACGATCTAAAGCTTCCTATGCCTTTAAAAACTTCACATTAATTAGTGCATGAATAGTGCATGAAATCTGGGGTTCGAGTTCTCGGGAAGTTTAAAGGTTTTAAGGTCTAAAAATGGTATATATGAACTCAAAGACTTGCAAGGAGTTCGAATCTTACCTTTTTGACGTCGATCCGTGCACGAAATGATCGGTTTGACGTTCGTCCGTACATGAGGGAAGGAGAGAGAGCACAAGAGAGGAATATAGTAAGTGTGTGTGTGTGTGTGGCACACGTGGGTCACCCACCAAAACCAACAACCAAGTCCTTTTTAGTTCCAAATAATGACTTAAAGAATTAGTTCACTCCCAAACTTAAATCACACAACACGTCCGAGGGCAAAATAGTCATTTCACATCGCTAAAACTGAATATTTCAAGATGGGTTGTGACATGTAGTCATGGTGATAATTTTACAACTATTATATTATGTTTGAATGAAGAAATTTAAGATTACTACGGAATTTTCAAAATGACGTAAATTGAAATGATGAGATTTTATTTTCTAGAATTTATGAATTTTCTTGTTTGGTTAACCTAAAATAACAATGAAATTGAATACGAAATTTGTTATTTTTAAACTTTCAATCATAAAAATTGATAAATGACGCTTATTTACATAGAATTTAAACTTGAGAATTAGAAGTCTCAAATTCTAAGTTTTTTACGTGAGATCGTCTTCGGATACCGTGAGATTGAAGGAAAAATTTTGTCCTAACTAAGAACAAGTAAGAACATTTGAATACATATGCAAACTATTAACACATTAAAGTAGGCATGCATTCAAAAACAATTCATAAAACCCATGACTTTTAAAGCCTAGTATATGGTGAACCAATAAACTCTTTAACAACAATTAAAGAGAAGGTAAGATTTAGAGTTTCTTTACCCTTGAAGCTCATCCTTATTTACACAAGGGATTCACCCAAGTGGAGGGCCTTCAAGTCACCTCCTTGCTCCTTGGATCTTCCTTGTGATTTTCCTCCTTTTAGTGCTCCTTTGCTTATTTGAGGATTTGAGGATTTGTTCTCCAAAACACCAAAAGTTTGATGTCTCTAACTCTCTTCACCAAGGATGTGATTGTGAAGATGAAATGGATGACTTAGAGAAGAATAGATTGCTAGCTAAAACTCCTCTAAGTGGCCGGCCTCTTTAGAGAAAATGAGAGAAAGTGTTTCACCTCATTTCACCAAGAAAAACCCTAATGAGAAATAAAGCTATAAAGTTGATTTTATACTTCATTTCAAGTGAGTGGCAAACTTGTAATTAATCCAAGTTTGCTACCCTCACCCTTATGGCCGGCCTTACCTTTGTTATTGGGCTAATTGCCCATTTTGTTTTAGTTGTCATACAACTTAAACATAATGGGCCTTGTGGACCAAAACGCTTTTGGGCCCCGAAACCCAAAACCAACATATAAGCCCAATACGAACATTTCGTATAATTAATTAACTAATTAATTAATCATGACCATTCTTCAATTAAACCATTTAATTGCTTATCCA